CACTCTCCCCCCCAACGCTCCCAATAATATTTCCCGGCAGCCCAATAACAGGAATATTCCCCTCGCCACCGGCGTACTCCCCACCCCCCCCGCCCCAACAACTCCCCCCCCAACAGCCCCAATACCCCCAGCACTAACCCCCCCGCCCGCCTCCCTGACAACAGCAGCCATCCGCTGCTCCCGATAAAACTGGTCCAATGCCCCCGTATCCCTACAAAACCTCTCCAGCTCATCCTTCACCATCTCCGGCTCCTGCCCCGTCCAGCTCCACCCCGGCCCCTTTTGCAATATCCCCGGTGTACCAAACGCACTACCCCCTCCACCCCCAGCAGAAGGCGGGTTACTCATCGCCGTTGCCCCAACAGGTCGAATGATAGGCGACAAAAAACCCGGTTTAATCGACGGAGAAGACGTCACCGGCTCCGAACTAATTCCCCCACTCGGAGTGGGGAGGTTAAACGCCGGGTAACCACCCAGCGGCGTCATCGCCCGTCCCGGAACACCACCAGGCGTGGCGACGGCACTGTTCACACCGAGGGCAGGGTGCTCCGTCCGGAGTTCCCTCTGCATCTCCCTCTCCCTGGCGGCAGCAGCTCGGCTGCTATACAACCTGTTTGCCAACAAGAGAAGATCCCCCTCGTCTGTGATTTGCGCCAGGACAGACCCCGACCGGTGGATGTACTGGGTATATCTGAAGTCTGGCTTTCCCCACGAGTAGGACACGTCTACGTTGGAGGGAAAGTTGGATGCTGCTTCGACGTCGAGGACAAAGTCGAATTTGCGCAGGATGGCCTTTTGGTAGAAATGCTTCCCAGGCTGGGCGGAGGGGGTGAAGGAATTAGAGTCATAATATGTGACGGGTGACTGGTCGGGTGGTGGGAGGGCGAGTTTCATGATGTAGGGTCGGCGGAAGGGGTTGATGTAGCTGATCGAGCAGGCTTCTGCTATGGGGACTTCAACCAGTCGGAGACCGTACTGGGCTGCTTCCCTTGCCCAGTTCTCAACGGCGTCTTCGATGAGCTTGGCAGTGACGTTCATCCAGTCGACGCGGATATGGTA